AGAGATCATTCCAAATGAAAAGCTTGTGAGGAAGTTAGTTTACTCACTTCCAAAATCATGGCAATCCAAGAAGACGACAATCGTTGAGGCTAAGAACCTAAAGTCCTTAACTCTTGAAGAGCTAATTGGTTCCCTCCTCACTCATGAAATGATACTTGAAGATGAGGTGGACCTCGATAAGATTGACGAGACACCAAAGGAGAAGGAGAAGAAGAAAAACATTGGAGTTGCTCTCAAATCCACAAAAGATAAGAGTGATTCGGATGAAGATGACGAGGAAATGGCATTGGTTGCCAAACAGTTCAGAAAAATAATGAATCCTTACCGAGGAAGAAAATTCAAACAAAATGAAGGCCTAAAAAATGAACCAAAAGAGAAGGACCCTATCATTTGCTATGAATGCAAAAAGTCAGGGCATGTCAAATATGATTGCCCATAATTGAAGAGAAAGGGTCAATCAAAGAATAAGCACAAGGATCATGTGGCTACATGGAGCGATGAAGAAGGTTCTGATGAAGAGGAACAAGAAGTAGCAAACTTGTGCTTGATGGCACTCGGGAAAGATTCTAAGGTAACCTCTAACTCATCTGAATTAGATGATTTATCTTATGAAGAGTTATTAGAGGAATATAATGGGTTGGCTTCGGATCATGAGAAATTATTTTTAAAATATAAAAATGATATTTTTAAAATATAAAAATGATGTCTCAAAATTGAAAATTGAAAATAAGCTCATATCCAAGACCAACAATGATTTTAAAAGTAAAATCAAAGATTTGCAAATCAAACTAGAAGAGTTTGAAAAGAAAAATTCAGATTTGCAAAATTTACTTTCAAAGGTCAATGATTATCATCAAAAGAAAATTGATGATCTTAAAGCTTTTTTTGATAAAGTTGGAACAAAATGTTTTGAAAATGAAGAAAATTCAAAATCCAACTTTGTTAGAAAAAGTTTTAAAAACTACAATCATAGAGGTCCCCGAAGAACCTCTAATGGAAAAATTGTTAGAAGTTTATGGGTTCCTAAAGGACTCATTACTACTAAAGATAAGGATATCTTACACAAATGGATACCTAAGGGGACTAGGATTTTGGAAACTAATGAATATGGACCCAAAAGAATTTGGGTACCAAAAATTAGAAATTAATCTATATTTGTAGGAAAATGAGCATTGCTATAAGGCACGGGAAACAAATTCAAACTCATGGTACCTTGATAGTGGATGCTCAAGACACATGACGGGGACAAAAGCCGGTTCATAGAGCATAACTCCAAAAATGGAGGAGAAGTGACTTTTGGTGATAATTCAAAAGGTCACATTGAAGATATAGGTACAATAGGTAATACCTCTTCCATACAAATTAAAAATGTTTTAAATGTGAATGGGTTAAAGCATAATCTTTTGAGTATTAGTCAATTATGTGATAAGGGATTAAATGTCATGTTTGAAACTAATGGTTGTAAAGTCATTGACATTGCATCTAATCGGATTATGCTTGTTGGTCATAGAATATGAAACATTTACATGGTGCATTTAGATTCTATTGATATGACTAATTTATGCCTAGTTGCTAAGGATAAGCATGATAGTTGGTTATGGCATAGGAGACTAGGACATGCTAGTATGAGCGTTTTGCAACGGCTAATTCAAGGTGATGTAGTTCGAGGGTTGCGTAAACTAAAATTTAATAATGATAAAATCTGTGATGCTTGTGCTAAAGGAAAACAAAAGCGAGTTTCTTTTAAATCCATTAATGATGTATCAACTAGTAGAGTATTACAATTGATCCACTTAGATCTTTTTGGGCCATCTAGAACTACTAGCTTGGGTGGAAAATAATATGCATTTGTCTTGGTAGATGACTATTCTAGATATACTTGGGTTCTATTCTTACGTACTAAATATGAAGCATTAGAAAAATTCATCACGTTTTCAAAAGTAATCCAAAACGAAAAATGTTACTCTATAACTAGTGTTAGGAGTGATCATGGAACTGAATTTGAAAATCTTGGAATTACTAAATTTTATAATTCAAATGGTATTAGCCATAATTTTTCAGCACCTAGAACCCCTCAACGAAATGGAGTTATTGAGAGGAAAAATCGAACTTTAGAAGAAATGGCTAGAACCATGCTTTGTGAAAACAATTTGCCAAAATATTTTTGGGCGGAAGCCATAAATACCGCTTGTTATGTTATTAATCGAGTAATGATTAGGCCTATTTTAAAGAAAACTCCATATGAACTTTTTAAAACTAAAAAACCTAACATTAGCTATTTTCATCCTTTTGGATGTAAATGTTTTGTTTTAAACAACGGTAAAGACAATCTTGGCAAATTTGATGCCAAAAGTGATGAAGGAATTTTTATGGGTTATTCCTTAAATTCTAAAGCTGATCGAGTATTTAATAAAAGAACTTTGGTTTTAGAAGAATCTATACATGTTTTCGATGATAATCTCCTTTCGATAAAGGATTCTTGTAGGTGTTATAAATACAAATGACGTTAGACATGACATTGGAGACCATCATCAAAGGAAGAAACGAAAGACGAGAAAACCCATGATCCTCTCGAGAATCCAACCATTGAAGAAAGGGAAGTATCTTACCCAAGAGAGTACAACTATGTCAAGGATGGTGAAATTATAGGTGATCCATCCAAAGGGGTAACAACTCAATCTTCTCTTAGAAATATTTGTAATTATGTTGTATTTATCTCATGCATAGAGCCTAAGAATATTAAAGAAGCATTAAAAGATGAACATTGGATTATGGCTATGCAAGAAGAGTTATATCAATTTGAGAGAAGAAAAGTTTTGACATTAGTTGAAAGGCCTAGTAATAAATCTACTGTAGGTACTAGATAGGTATTTAGGAATAAGCTTGATGAGAGTGGTAATATAGTGAGAAACAAGGCTAGACTTGTTGCTCAAGGTTATACTCAAGAAGAAGGCATAGACTATGATTAAACGTATTCTCCCGTAGCTAGGATGGAAGCAATTAGAATGTTATTAGCATTTGCATGCTTTCATGAATTTAAATTATATCAAATGGTTGTTAAAAGTGAATTTTTAAATGGTTTTATAAAAGAAGAAGTGTATATGGAACAACCTCCAGGTTTTGAAGATTTAAAATTTCCAGATCATGTTCTTAAATTAACAAAAGGGCTTTACGGTTTAAAACAAGCTCCTAGAGCTTGGTATGAAAGATTATCAAACTTTTTAATTGAAAAAGGTTTTTCAAAAGGGAAGGTTGACACTATATTGTTTTTAAAACATAAAGTGCCTCTTGATCTTGGAAATAACGCGGCAACTATCAAACAAATATTTTGAATTTTTTTCCGTTTCGTTCTCCTATGTTTGACTTGTGTTGTACGTCTGATTTTAGTGGATAAGTTTTTTAATAGGATTTTTTTTACTTACACAAGGCCTTAAACTCGAAATCTACTTAAACGATATCATATTGCTTATCACTTAAATCAATTCTTTGGTACAAATTTTTTTTACTTTAATTTTAAGAAAGAGACGTTTTTTTACTTTAATGCACAAATGACAAATAATCAAATATCAATCAATATAATTCAGTTGTTTCTTTGTTTAAATTTAGTTTTTTTCAATTTGCAAACAATTAGTGAAGAAATAAATTTATGACATTAGCTGCCGAATTGGTAATTTCAACATTATTTCTAAGGTCAACTCTCTCCAATTTGTCTTATTAATTTCTCATTGGAATTATCTTATTAAGGAAGCTCCTACTTTTGGTATTATGCTTCAACAAAAAAAAGTTTTCCCATGAATTAACACAGTTCTAGGGTAACTTGTAATATCATATTATGGAAAAATATACGTATTCAATTAGTCAAGTTGTTCATCTTTATTCCTTTATATTCTTTTAGATCATAAATTCTGGACTCATTAGGAGAACTCTTATTCAGTCTCCTAGAGTCTCACTTCTCTCCCCTTTAAGTAAGATTATGATTAGATTTATAATTTGTCAAAAAAGAAATTATTATCATATTATAGATAAATTATATCGATGACCACTTAATGATTGTCATTTTTTATTTTGACAATCGAATCCTTTAATTATTTAATTGTTGTTAATCAAACCACCGACCGTTAACATTTAACGGAGGCACTGACGCGATTAATAAAATCAATATAATCACACATATAATCCTTATTACTTACACATTCTATCAATTCGATCCTAATTTTAAATTTAATTCAATAAATTTAGTCCACAATCAGATAGTGAGATATGTCACCATCCGATTGGAGACTTTTTTATCATTTAATTTAGGGTAAATTATGTGTTTAGTGCCTAAACTATCACTTTTGGTCTGCTTTAGTACCTAAACATTCAATTTTTTTCAAAACCATACCAAAACTTTCATTTTAGTACCCTATCGTTAAAAACATAACGGACAGGCTGACGGGGCATAGCTCTGGTGGACAAACAGTCAATCTGAACAGTGAACCACGAGAGAATGATGAGTCAACCAACATAGTCCAAATTTAGGCCCAAATGATGGTTGACGAAAGAGATTAGAGGAAGAATAAGTTGAAGAGTTCATCGTCGAATTAGGGAGATTGAGGCATTTTACATTAAAATGGAGGCCAAAAATAATGTTTAGGGGGTCGAAAAGATGTAGGCTGAAAAGTTTGGGCTTCATTAGCCGATGGATTTGACGATCGGCGACTGTAGATGCGGCGATCGATGAGCCCGTCTGTTAAGTTTTTAAAGACATGGTACTAAAATGAAACAAAAACTAAAAATTAGGAATGGTTTTGAAAAAATGAAAGTTTAGATACTAAAACAGACCAAAATTGATGATTTTGGTATTAAACGCATAATTTACCTTTTAGTTTAATAATTTAAAAGGAAAACCAACATTTGGTCCGAGGTGAGAGTAGAAATTAGATGTTTGAATGGTGAGAAACCCCTCATCTCTTGTTCCAATAAAGAGAAACTAAAACTAAAACACTAGACCACATGAAATGGGTTCCAAGCTTTGTTTCATCATCTCTTTCACTCTTATATCATCGACCACGAGCGATATCTGTCAACCAAAATGCGGGTACCAGGAGATCAACTTCCCATTTCAGCTCAAAAACGAAACCCGGTGCGGCTATCCAGGCTTCGACCTCTCATGCAATAACCAGACCGACACCATCATAACATTCCCATCATCGGGTAATTTCACAGTTCAAGTCATCAACTATTATGTGCAATTCATTGTGATAGGCGATCCAGATAATTGCCTTGCGAAACATCTACTGGAAGGGTTTGATACCACTGTCACACCATTCCACCAAGACTACCTACAGAACTTCACGCTGCTCAACAGCTCCTATAATGTACCCTACATGGAAACATTAAACCTAACATATACTCCTTGTCTTAGTAGTGATTATAATTGTACCGTGGTGATACCGGTGGACCGACCAGATCTGTTCAAATCGTTCTCGTCGTGTTGGGAAATAGAGACGGTCTCGTTGCCGTTGCTGGAAAATGGGAATTTCTTGATGATAGGATATGGTTAAGGTGGAATGAATCAGATTGTAAAAGGTGTTTAGACAGGGAAGGCATTTGCCAGTACAAGAATAATACAGGCTTTGACATTGGATACTCTGTTGTTTTGAATCCAAGTATGCTCTGATGCAGAGTAGCATGTTTCAATTTTCTAGTTATTGGGTGTAGACACCCATTTTTGTCCGGGTTCTAACTAATTATTATTATTATTATTATTATTATTATTATTATTATTATTATTATTATTATTATTATTATTATTATTATTATTACCATTATAATTACATTTTGTAGGCCCAACCCGAAGCCCAACAAATCCCAGTATACAAGCCCACAAGGAAACAAGCCCAACAACCCAAAGCATAATCCACCAACCCGATTACACTCAACCTAGACCAGTTTGGGGTTTTTATCTTAACTGCAAGTCACGTCCAACGTCAGCGTTCGATATGGACCCATCCTTGACGTTCGATATGGACCCATCCAACGGTCCAGATCGCCTAAAGTTTAGGGTTTTAAACTCTAAATATATTAACCAGTCATCGCTGTCAGCAATGAGCCACCACCTAGCCGACGCATGAGTCCCATTGCTCGTCTTCTCTCCACGTGAGCTTCCACTGAAAGAACCTCAAGTCACCACCGTCATCAATAGTGACAAAACACCAAATCAATCAGAAGATCAACTCAAAGTTAAAAAAATAAAAAATGAGAACAAATCAAATGATATCCCAAGGTAAATCTGGGACTGCCAATATGCAAATATAGAGTACTCAAACCCTATTTCCTTAGAAACAACAAGCCATCACCAAAATCAATAAAGAATAAGATAAAAAGGAATACCAGATTAAAAAAGAGGGGACTGGAATGAAGAAAAAAGAGAAGACTTCGAACATTCAAGAAAAAGAAGAAGAAAAAAAGAGACATCGGTTCAAAAAATAAGAAGAAAAAAACCAGAAAAGGAAAAAGAAACAGAGAGAAAAAAATAAGAAAAACATCGAAAAAAGGAGTCGACATTTGTTCTTGGATGGAACCGTGATCTCCATCGAGACAAAACCTTCAATTTTAAGAAGGTAACCACTAGACTTTTTTAGATCTAGGGTGAAGGGTTTCATTTCAGGGATTTTAGACTTGGTTTTTGAGTAAGGGCTGAGAGAAGGTTTATTTGGGACCAATTTCTTTTTCTTTCAGCGTCAACCCGTGGTGGCCGGGAATGTTTTCACGGTGACGGGTTTAGTTTGGAGAAAGAATTCACCCCCTTTGGTTTTGTAAGAAATGGCAATGAGAGATTAAAATGAGAAAATGGGGTTCCAGAACCCTTAGTATGATATATAACCCCACCAGGAAACAACGTCATTTTGGCGTTAGGGTTCCATGCGTTTAGAGCATGGGTTAATTGCGCATGAGGGTCCCTACTTTGTAACATTTGCGTTTTAGTAACTTAATGAAAGTTTTATCTTTCCATTTCGGTTTCTTCCTTTATTTTATGTTTTATTTTGGTCCCTATAATTTGGTTATTATATTTGTTCATATTTAGACTTTTGACCGTTGATTTTACATAATATTTGATTGTAGTCCTTAGTATTTACTAATGTATAAAGTTGTGTGTTTTATGTTTTAAATCATATTTTAGCCTCGTATTCATTTAAGTCACCAATTCATATTTATATGTTTGCTTATTTTTTAATATGGTCCTAAGGTTGATGATTCTTTTGTTTTAGTCACTATTTAGTATGAATGCATTTAGGCTTAATTATTATCGGCCCTTTTATATTCATGGTTTAGTTCATTTTAATCCTTAACATTATTTATGGATTATTTTCATTTATGGCACCTATATTGCTTAATATGTTCAATTGTAGTTCTGGTTTGCTTATAATTGTTGTTTGGTCCTTCAAGTTTCTGTTAGTATCATTTTGATCCCTTAAATCACCAAATATGATTATTTTTTTTATTTGTATGTTGATATATAATATTTTTTTTGTTTTTCATTCTAATCCTTCATGTATATATATATTTTGTATATTATAGCTATATGTATTATATTAAATAAACATTATTAGTTCTATGTGTTGTAGATATTTTATTCTATAGATTTTAAATTCTATTTGTTTTCATCATATTTCTTTATCTATCGATATGTTATCCGAATATTTTCAAGAACAACAATTTGTAGAATGGACATGGAAAGTATTGATTGGTTGAAGTAGTGCGATCTGATACGACGTTCGAACACCAATTCATTTTCTTATTTCAAGTTAAATAATGCAATGCATGTTTCTCTAAATAACAATTTTTTTTTTGTATATGTTGATGTTCAATTTATATTCGATTCGCGTTTTTTTCAAATCGAGGAGGGAATATTCTTTTTAGGCAAGAAATAGAATAGATAGCCTTCCTGTCGGAGGATGAGCAAATCTCACTATTTCTTTTCAAATTAAATGATTTTCCCTAATAAATAATTTGAAGCAAATTAATTAACTTTCATAAATGGATCACATTCTAACTTTATATTCAATTCATAATTTCCACTACCGCGACAATATATAGCGATTAAGTACCAATTTTGGGCGTTGTGGGGGGTGCTTATCCTTCCCCACGTGTAATCGACTCTCGGACCCGTTAAATAGAATTTTTGGTAAACGCAGACCTATTTTTTTCTTTTAAATTATTTTTCTGAATTGTTTAAAAGATGTTTTTAGGTATTCGGCCTACCTAATTTAAAGGTCAATGATGACTCCTATTCAATTTAATTCAAATTAATACAAAATTGCCAATTTTTCAAATATAATCATAATTATTTTTTTAAAAAAATGGTTATGACAGCTTGGCCACTCTACTGGGGACTTTTTTAGAGAGTCAGACTGTAAGTCGCTTACACATTGTCGTAGTAGGAAATTATAAGTTTGAGTCTATAGTTAACTTATGATCCATTTATTTAAATTTTTCTAAATTCTTTATTTTTTATACTAACATTTTAATTTTTGTTTTCAGCAATGTTCAAGTTTCTATTGAGAGTTTTTTTTTCTTTAGAGTCAAAGGTTTGTATGTTCCTCCTTACACACATCACGTGCATTTGCATGACATAAGCTCTAGACTCGAGCTTTGTTTCAAGTAAGTGAGTGAACGCTTTACTCTCGTAAAATTTATTCTTCGTATGAGTTTTAGCAATAACCTCTGGGGTACACATACCTTATACCTTCGTAGGGATTTATTCCTCGTATGGGTATAAGGAAGTGAATCCCCTCGAATTGAACTCGATTCGTTTACGCCTGTAATGGGTTAGGATTGAGGGTTTGGTAGCCCAATGGGCACTGACATCAAGGACAATTTGAGTATTATTTCCTCATAGAGCCGAAACCATGCATATAGTGAACCGTAGAACGGTCACCCTAGGTATAGCCATACCGAACCTTTATCGGCTTTATCCATCGGTAGGTGCCAAAATAAGTGTACACAAAAGATGAGTGTTCTTGAACCTTTACCTTTTGATTTAAGTTCATAGAATATATTATTCTTTTTGAATAAAAGCGTACAACTATAAATTATTTGTGGTTAGGATTATTTTTTAAATAAATAATTTTGGGTAGATATCATGATTAGGTAGGTGATACATTTAAATAGCATCATTTAATTCCATCAATTATTTTACCTGTACTAACTCGTTTCTTTTATTTTTGTCATTTTCACATTTTTGCATTGCATTTCATCAACATGACATAATGTGAAGGTGTTGACCCGCAAGGGGATATTCAAGTGAAAATTTTCACAAGGTGAAATAAAAGTTTTCAATCAAGCAGTCACGTACACAGACACAGACCGAAGGCTAAAAGAAATTCATAAAGTGCAAGAAGGAAACTTGCTAGAAGATCGTGCAATATTCGAGATTGGAAAGATGATACATTGATCCGAGAAGTAATCCAGTAGAAGAGTTTGTCTACGATCGTTCCATCGCTAATCACAAAGGAGTGACGCGTGACTTCAACACTGTTGGGGCATTAACCGAGTTACGTTACAGGTCATTCGAGGGGCATAATTTTCAAGGATGAAGCTCCGAGACGAAACATTGACCTATTTCAGACTCAACATCCAAGCAAAAGAATGTTTGTAAAATGGACTATCTTTCAATGTAAAGACTTTTATCTCTGGTGAAAATTATTCAATGATATTCATCGTTGGGACTAACACTTTTTTCATCTGCATTATGCATGACATTCATTTAGGCATTTTTACATGCATTAATCATGGATACATGGATTTATCTCGTGGAGGACTCTGAGGAGATATTTCTAACTATGCAACTTCATTCACACAGTACTGAGCATGGAAGCAAAATTTAAGAAACTGAAGAAAGAACTAGAAGATAATTTGCAAAGGATGCAAATAGATTGGGAAGCTAAAATGGAGCAAGCGCAAAAGGCCACTGTGAATCGCATCTTGCAAAACCAGGACCACCTAGTTGACCAAATTATAACAAAATTGACTGAGTTCAACCAAGAATGAGGCAAAGAGAAGATTTTCGACCATGGAAACCTCTGAATATGTGATGGCACAGATTAGTCCACAACTACTCATTTCGCCCAACAGGCTTCTAAGCCACCAAGTAGACTTATTCGCCACTAAAACTCAAGCAATTATGTTAGATCCTCATGATAATACTAATCACGACATGTCTAATCCCGATGAGATGAAAAAAAGACAAGAATGAGATCAGTGAGAACTTAAAAAAGTGGTGTAGAGAGACATTCAAGGGGATGAGAGGACAAAACTCTCATAATGAAATTGATGCAAGAGAACAAGTCTTAGTTCCTGATTTGATGCTCCCGCTCAAATTCAAAATGCCTGATTTTGAAAAATACAATGGAACCAGTTGCCCTACTGCCCATCTCATGATGTTTATTCGAAGGATGATTGGATACACCAACAATGATCAGATATTGATCCACTACTTTCAAGACAGTTTGACTGGACCCGCTTCTAAGTGGTATAAGCAATTGAGTCGTACTCAAATCCA